GTTCACTAAATTCAGAGAGACATTTCTACTAAGCTGAAGTAGGAACGGGTGAGAACCACAGGGAGGTATTTCTGGGTTGGTGTTTTTGTTTGTTTGGGGTTTTTTTTTTGAAATCCAGATAGGAATCAAACAGCCAACAGGAAAAGCTGAATAAGAGGGCACGGATGAGAAGCAAGTCACACACACATGCACAAACACACAGCAAAGCCCGTAGGTCTTTGAAGCAGAGGTTAAAATAAGAAATCCCACGGGGCTCAGGACCTCCCTGAGGCTCAGTGCAGCCTGGGCACCAGCAGGAGAGAGGGCTCAGGGATCGGGGCTTCCTGCTCCTCCAAGGCAACAGGATGAGAGTCCCAGCACGGCCCCGAGCATGCCCCGAGCCCAGATAATGTCACCGCTGCGGCCACTGGGCCCTCCCATTTCCTTCAGAGAATAAACACCTCTGCTTCCTCTTGATTCTCCCAACAGATATTTGGCAAGGGAGCTTCTCAATTTCCTCATGAGAGATGAAGAAAAGTCGAGGTTTTTCCCAGTTGCGTAAATTCCTCCCCCCCACCCCCCAATTATAACCTTGGCATGCGGCAAGAAACGATTTCCTCTTTCATCAGTGAAACCTTTGCACAAGCCTCCCCTGGCTCTTCAGCTGGCAGGAAAGACACAGGAGAGGGCACAGCATGCTCTGGGTGAGTGCAGCCTTATCAGTGCCTAAATATAATCAGCAGGAGGATATTTCTTGGCATTTACGCCATCCACGCTCTCGGTGACTCCACAACGATTTCTCGCAGCCCACCTTCGCTCACCTCTCACCCCTTCTCCGAAAGGCTGGGACACAGAGGCTTTCCAAGGCCTTTGCCACACCAAACACAGAGCACTATGCCAGGAAAGCTTGCAGAGCAAAGGACAAGAGTGATTACTTTTTTTGGAAGGCAACCTGCTGGCGGGAATCACTGCAAAGCCACCAGCGTCGCTCTTCCCTTCAGCTTAGACCAGGCAGTCCTTGTGCAAGGAAACGATTCAACGCCTCATTTCCCTCTTTTTCTGGGCAGTGAGGGCCATGTCAGCTTGCTCTGAGAGTTGCTCTGTTTCCCACGTGCTCAGCTCTGGTGCAGGACTCGGCCTCAGGGCTGTGACTCTGCTGTGACAACTCGTTGCTGGGTGAGGCACCTGCAGGTCTCTTTTCGGCCCCTCACTATCTCTCTGAGCAGGAGAAGGACTCCACTTCACGAATAGCCAGGACAGGATGCTGAGCAGTTTTTAGCCTTTTGTGTATTGAATCCCTGCTCTGCACAATGGCATGTTTAGGACCTCGCAGTCCCTCGGGAGGAAAACACACCGGAGGAAGCATTTCCTGCTGTGGGCAGCGGACAGCTGGTGTTGAAAGAGGGCAGGAGGTTATTTTGGGGGAGTTTTGGTGATATTATTTTGCTCCTCTTGTCAACAGCATCACTGGTTGCCATAACACAAGTGCAGGGACAGATCAGAGGGAGAAGGTGATGGTAGTGAAGGGCCTCAGCTTAAAACGAGTGTCCCAAGCAGGTATCTCCACTCAAATCTTGTCGCCTTCAGACAGGATGGGATGTCCCTCACCTTAAAATCACATTTTCTGAGCAAGGATGGACATGATGAGCCCAAAAATGCCACGAATTCTCATTGATACAATACCATGCATGGGCTATGTCTCTGAAGAGCTGTGAGAGCTGGGGGGGGGGGTCACAGTGACAAAACAGAAGAAAGAGTGTGGGGTGAAGTCAAGCCTCTTATAGAACCCTGGAAGTGTTCAAGGCCTTGAGCAACCTGGTCTAGTGGGAGGTGTCCCTGCCCATGGCAGGGGGGTTGGGATGAGATGGCCTTTGAGGTCCCTTCCAACCCTTAACATTCTCTGGTTCTCTGATTCTATAATTCTGCAATTCTGTTTCTGTGGTTCAGTCAGCTCTTCACTGAGAAAGGATTTCATGGGCCAGGTGAGACAAGGACAAGTGGGAGTAATAGGGTCAGGATTAGGATGACTCTGGCAACATTCTGGAAAAACAGGACCCTTTCAGTAAGTCGTAGGAGTGTGAGAAGAAAGAACAAAGGAGTGGGCAAAGAAACTCATCTGCTGAGCTCTGAGGGCAACAGAGCTGCAACAACTGGAGCTGGGGGAGCTACTCAGCTGGGAAATCTGATAGATGTGAAAAGAAATATTAGTTTCCATTAACTGGTAAGAAAATGTTTTATTACACTGAGCAAACCAAAAGGGAGTTCATCTCGTACAAACACATGTTTCTAGCCAGTAAATGCCTCCACAAAACCCACAGCACAGTAAAAACCGGCAGTAACATCACCTGTTTTGGGGAGAAGGAGTTTGAAATGAAGGTGATACAGATATGAAGAAAAAAAAAAATAAAACTGCTTTGAACAGTCGTACAGTTTCCATGAGTGGAACTGGCTGGAAAAATCTCTAACAGAAGGGTATAAATAACAAAAAAAAAAAAAAAAAATCCATTTCATTGACCAAATATTTTGTTGAATTGCTATCAAATTCAGTGGACTACTTCAACCAGAAAGGGCTGAGAAGACAAAATATTTAGCTTCCAGTTTCTCAAACAAAAATATTTGGTTTTCCACTTCGAATTCGAGGGTAGCTTTCCAAAATAAATCTTTGTATAAATATATCTTTAAGATTAAGGCAGGTGGGCGAGGGTTTATCCCTGAAGTCATTTGTTTGCAGCTTGGGGCAGCTTTGCTGGAGGTGCAAGGACATTTCTCCCGAGAGCTCCTGCCCAAACCCCTGGCATGTCACGCTCCACATTTCACAGGAACAGCTGCACAGGCTCCTTTTGTCCCTCCATGCCCTGACATCGTGACTGTCATCACCTCTGGTGGCTTCAGCTGACACAAAGGGCTGACACAATGAGCTGTGCAACACAGATGGGCTTTTCCTTTGTGTTGCTGGTGGGCTCATCCATGACTGCTCCAGCGTGTCCCCATCCCTGGGGGTGTCCAGGGAAGGACTGGACGTGGCGCTCAATGCTCTGGGCTGGGTGACAAGGTGGGGGATCAGTCAAAAGGTTGGACTCAAAGCCCTTGGAAGCCTTTTCCAGCCTTGTTGATTGTGTGAGTCTGTGATTCTGTCAGACCACGTGTATCATTTCCCTGCAGCACAAGGCACGCTGCCTTTACTCCTTTTCTTCGTAACACTTCCTTTATAATAAAAAATAAATTAAAAAAAAAAATTAAAATAATAGGCAGCAAGCTGAATGTTTACTCAATTATTGGTAGAGAGTTGGCTCCCATGGAAATGTTGGCTGAAGGCACTGCTGTGAAACACAGTCCCTTCCAGGACAGTGCCAGAAAGCCAAGGGGCAGGTGGCAGCTCTTGAACAATAGTCAATTAGACTTTTTAGGCAAATATTTGCTCATGTGTCCAGACAATGATGTCTTGTGGAAATGTGTTTGCACAATGTCCTTGACAAAGGCTCATCTGTTAACCCGGGACACAATCGGGTCCAGCTCTGGAACAGCGTTTAGCTCATGAACCTCTCGGCTGGGGAGGCAACAAAGCGTCACAGATCCAACTCTGAGCAAAATAATCAGCCCAAATCACCTTCAGACAGGAGGGAGGGGGAGAAAAAAAAAGCCTCCTAAATGAGATTTGCTTTTAACCTATAAAATCATCCAGTGTGTGCTGGGATCTGTGACTCAGTTCCCATAATTTCAGTGTGCTTCCATTACAGCCTTGGCCAGATCCCTCAGGAATGGAGCTTCCAGAGGTCCTGCAGGGCCACCACAGGGGAGCTTTTCCTGTGCCCACGAGGAGTATCTGGCTTTGCTTGGCACCACAATGATCCCTGATCTTCCCAAGAGCTACTGAGGATCATCCTTGTTCCTCCTCAGCCTGGATGGGGGTGGAAGCTATGAAGGACAAGGCCCATCTCAGCTCAAAAAGCATCTCCTGGGGAGCTGGTGCCGCTGGTTCCAGTCCTTCTGGGGGTGGCAGGGAGAGCAGAGCCTCATTATTAGTCCCCAGAGGGATTTTTGGGTGGTATATGGGGTATTACAGTGTAATGTGGCTGATGAGCGTGAAGTAGCAAATAAAAGTTGAGCCCAATAGCGCCCAAACTTGAACCAGGGACTGCTGAATTGTCTACATTGCTCTCTGGTTTTGGGGTGGCACCAAATGAATGGTCTGCAGTGGGGGTGGCAGCCAGAAGCGTTTGGGAAGTGTCGGTTTAGCCCTTGGAGTTACAAATAATCATTCACAAGCTGCTGCTCTTCCCCTCCCCTGAATTCCTTGACGTGTACCAGTGTTTTCTGAATGTTTTGGCTGAAAACGTTCCAGCCTCTGCTTTGCACACCACATGTTCACCTCATCTCGATGGTGATTCAGTATCCACGAGGTGTGTGAGTCACCTCAGGGATGTGGGATTGTTTCTTATTCCCCGACTGACGTGTGGGCACTTTTACAGGGGAGAACATAATATTTGCTATAGACAGTAAACAAATAAGGCAACTGAAGAGCAACAAACACAGTAGTGGCTGAACTTTGACAGAAGAGAAACCACACATTTGTGCTAAAACTAACGAAAGGGAGAGAACTCCTGTGGTTCTTTTGGGACATTAATGAAAAATTAAGAACCTGTTCCTCTCGTGTCAAGCTCATTGCAGGAATAACTGGATGAAATCTTGAGGCTTGTGCTACTGAAGGAGGTCGGGCAAGACAAGCAACTGGTCCCTGCTCACCTCAAAACTGAATCCAGGAGGGACAACAAACTAAACTTGCCTTGTTTTTTCGTAAAAAAATATTCCTGACCCGACTATTTAGGCTTTGTCCCTCCCGACGAACGATTAAAAAATCTCCAGTTCCTGCTGCAGCATTCCTGACAGTGAAATCACGCTCCCAACCATTTCACTGTGATCATTATCTTACCCCTCTTTCCCTCCCCAAGGTTATTATTTTCCTGTATCATTTCAATGCTTGTTTTTCCACAGACTTTAGAAGCTCAAGCTCTGAAAACTTCTTTCACGTGCTAAAAGAAACTTTATTCTTCCAGGAGGGTAAGCTCAGGTTTACACTGTGAGCACCACAGGAGGAGATGTTTAAGGAACAAGAGTTATGATGGATTGTGCTGAAAGACTGCCTTAGTCACTGTAATATGTCACTTTTTCTTCCTTTTCAGTTCTTCTTGGGTTATAAAGCAAAGCCTTGACTGGAGGAACGTTTGGCTCTCCTGTGGTGTCCCAGTTTTGACCACTAATGCACATAATTGAAAAGAGTCTAAGAAGTAGGTAAGTATCAAACACCAGGACTTTAACACCAGGTTTAAATTGCACTCAGAACATTTCTTGGGGTTGTGGCAGAGTGACCAAAACTGCTGAAGTGGCTCAAGACCACAGAGTTCAGGACAGGTTAGCAGGAGTTCATGTGCCTAATCCATGGTGTCATGAAAGAAATCCTTCCAAAAGTTGCTGTTCTGACCCTGAGGATGCTGCTGACACGTGTTTTGATGAGAAGAAAATCATCTATTCAGAAGAGGGAAAAAAAATCATGCTTTGGACAGCCCTACTCGATGCCTATCACAGAATCCCAGGATCATTTAGGCTGGGAAAATCCTTCCAGATCATCGAGTCCAACCTGCCCCATCCCCACCCTGTCCCCCAGCCCAGAGCACTGCGTGCCATGGCCAGGCCTGCCTTGGACACCTCCAGGACTGGGCACTCCAAACCTCCCTGGGCAGCCCCTGCTAATGTTTCCAACCCTTTTCATGACTAAATTCCTCCTGATGTCCAACCTGAGCCTCCCCTGGCACAGCTGGAGGCCGTTCCCTCTCCTCCTGTCCCTGTTCCCTGGGAGCAGAGCCCGACCCCCCCCGGCTCCCCCCTCCTGGCAGGGACTTGCAGAGCCAGAAGGTCCCCCCTGAGCCTCCTTTTCTCCAGGCTGAGCCCCCCCAGCTCCCTCAGCCCCTCCTGCTGCTCCAGCCCCTTCCCAGCTCCGTTCCCTTCCCTGCACACGCTCCAGCCCCTCAGTGTCTTTATTGCAATGAGGGGCCCAGAACTGGGCACAGCACTTGAGATGTGGCCTCCCCAGTGCCCAGCACAGGGGGACAATCCCTTCCCTGGTCCTGCTGCCGCACTATTTTTGCTACAGACTTCTGAAGAAGCAGCGACAACACATCCTAATTACCGCTCTCCAGAAGACGCATTTCACACCATGACTACAGAAACCAGGGCACACACAAAGGCAAAAAATATTCATTCCCCTGGGCCAAAAGCTGCTTTCAGTTACACCCAAGAAACCACATGAAAGCCCCGTGCCTGTGGAGGTGCCAAGGCCTCCTCAAAGCACCGCGTCCCATTTGCTGCCGTTGACATCAGCGAGCGCGGCAGGCACCCACGGCTCCCTGGGGCAGCCCAGCACTTGCCAGATCATGGAATCATGGAATCATTACTGCTGGAAAAGACCTCTGAGAGGAAGAACCGATGCTCTGGAATGGCAACATACACACACACACACACGTTGGGTTCTGCACCCATGGGTGCACCCTGCAGATGTCGGGATGAGCTGGGCTTGTGCTTACAGGCTTCAGCAAAAAAGCCCCCGTGGCAGAGCTGGACTCTATCCATGGACAATTTTGGCACTAGAGGTTGGCTCCTGTCCTTTGGGGATGATTGATTTTGGTAATTAGCTTTGCTTTTTCTGCAGTTTCTGGGCAGTGATGCTGTTAATGGAAGCGAGAGGCGGAGCAGCAGAACTGGGGTGGGAATGGCCGGAAAAAAGCAACTGAGCACCTCTCTGCGTCCTGATCCCGGCACCACACGGCTCCTTCAGACCCTGGCGCCTCTGCAGAGGAGACTGCAAACATGCCCCGTCCTGCCAAACCCCCGGACCAGCCCGAAAACATGCTCCGAGCAGGATCTCCTGCGCAGAGGGATCGCGCTAACCCATCGCTCCATCTAGTGACAGCACATCCCACAACACCCACATCCCCCGGGCCCACCCCTTTGCTTCCAAAGCATCCTGAAGAAACACTCTTTATGCAGTGTGTTTCCACCTTCAGAGGCTGCTTCGTAAAACGTTTTGATGTCGTTTGTTGGGTTTTTTTTCGGGGGGAGGGGGGAGTTGGTTTGCTTTTGTCCAGGGTTTTCTTAGTTTAGAAAAAGCAGCAAAGCTGCTGCCCTCCAGAAGGGCTAGGGATGAATCCTCTCCTCCAGAAAGGGGTTAAGGAGGAATCCAGAAGGCCCACAGGTTATTCCAGCCCTCCAGAAGGGTTACAGGTGAATCCACCCTGGAGCAATCCTCTCCTCCAAGTGTGTGCTACACTTTATAATTTAATTAGTAGTTGTGCTGCGAAGGTGAATGGCATTTTGTAGACTACTGAACAGACCCAGAGACAAGAGTAGGAAAAGTGCACAACAAAAGCAGTGGGACCTGTAGATCCCTGTTAAAATAGGATGGTGGTCAGGGGCAGCAACATGCTCAAGACACCTGCAAACTCTTGTACTTAGAAGAAGCATCTGCACTGCCAGAACATCTCCTTCCCAGGTCTGCCATGAGGGCTTTTCAGATCAAGGTTAAGTAGAGTCTTCAGCTGCCTTTCACACTCATATTTTTCATCACTTCTTTAGCCCTGATAACACTGAAAGGGAGGCAAAAAAAGCCCTTTTGGCTGCTAGCAGTAGGAATTACTGTATGCTGGCCTCTGGTCCCCCCAGAATTGGAAGCACCTGGGAATCCGACACCCATCTTTCATTTCATTTCTGACATCAACATTTACCAGAAAAAAAGAGAACTTTTTGCAAAAAGCATCGCTGCTGAACTTGCTGTTGTTGATAAACACTGTTTTCTTGGGCAGTTGTGGGATCCAATAGCCCTTGGAGATTGTGGAGTTTTCCAGGCAGGTGAGTTGCTTTGACAAGGTGCTCCCTTCATTAATAAATGTGCTCCCTTTCAGCCAGGGAGTTCTGCTCTCTTCAGAAACCCTTCAGCTGCACACTTCGACTTCTTTTCCTTTACAGAGCTACAGTCCCATCATTTTCTTTAATGAAAAGCAAAATTCCAGCTCTTCAGGTGATAGCTCTATTAGAGATGGTAATGAACACAAGAAGTCGATTATCTTGGAATGGGGATTGTTTTTCAGGCAAAAACTGATTGCTTCACTGACAGATAAAAAGCTTTCTTCAATGTGTTACAGAAATTGCAGGGGAAAATAATCTCACCAGAAGATGCTTTCATTAGTTTTATTCTTTTAATCATGGAAATATTCCTATAATTATCATTATGTAGAAACATTCCCATTTAAAAAAAAAATACAAAACACAAAAAACCACCTTAAAACCCGGTCCAAATTACCAGGCAGGCTCTCTATTCATGGGTTTATGGGCTGTGTTGCTCAAATGAAAAAATAATTAACTTCTGAGTAAAAAAATCCTAATGATGTCGATTTTGCTTCAGCGGATATTATCAGCAGGCAAGAAGATTCATTCCAATACTGCATATTTGTTTTTCCCATTGCCTTAGAAATAAAACATGGGATGCAAAGGGAAGGGGGGGGGGAATATTTTCATCCTAGCAAAGGAATCCCCTCCCACTACACACTCTGAGCAGGTGGAAACTTGTTTTTGCCTCTGCTGTTGTCGCCCAAAACTTTGATCCCAGGGGAGGATGCTCTGCAGGGGCCATCCCTTGGCTATGGTGTGAGGCAAGGACAGTGCTGGTGGCATTTCTCACAGATTAAATGTATTCAGGGTGCTGAGTGGTTCACTTTTGGTGAATCCTAGTGCCATCTTTTGGGGGAAATAGGAATATGCCTTGACCAGCAAATCCGACCTGACACATTTGAGGAGAGCAGCTCTGAGTGGCTCTGGGGAGAACTGGGCTGGGGGCCAGTTGTCCTTGAGCACAGGGTCCCCAACACCACAGGGACCTGCTGAGGGGCAGGAAAAGTGCAGGATTTTTCCAGAAAGAGCAAGGGGTGCACCTGGAGCGCAGTAAAAAAGCACCATAAAGTCAGGCAGGGGCACTGACTGCCCTTTCCAGCCCCTGCTGAATTCATGAGCCTCCTTCAGCTGCCCTGGGGTGACCAGGCTCAGCACCACAGCCTCATCCAGGCTGGCAAAAGGGCCCAGCCCAGACCTTCAGATAGAAACTTCAGGGAGCAGGTGAAATCCAGAGATCATCCTGAAATGTCCTGTGCCTTCAACTCTCACCAGCCACAAAACTGTAAAGGGGATGAGGGTTTCAAAGAGAGTTTGAATAAAATCTGTGTTGCAAAACATCCCTCAAAACACCTCTTACAAAGCACCTGGTAAAATCCTGCTGAGGAGCAGCATGAGAATCACGAGATGGTGAGGACGAGAGTTTACCAGGGATCACTGGGGGCGTGGAAACTGCACTCACATGTGGGAACACATTCCCTCTTCTGCTGGCACCTGAGGGAAGTCCTGAGCTGAGCCTGAGGTGTCCCTTGGCATAGGCTGTCCTGGCAGCCCACAAGAACTTCTGCTCACAGCCCAGACGTGCCAAACGCCAGCGTGGCCGTGGCAGTGGGTTTGGTCCCAGCCTGGCAGCCTCCCCTGTCCCCTGCTCTGCAGGGGCACAACCAGAGGAGCCCCAGTCCAGCCTGGGCACACTGAGACCAGGAACATTTGGCTTTCAAAGAATCACAGCTGGAAGAGACCTTCAGGGTCATCCAGTCCCACCCTCACCCAGCACCACCACAATCACCCCTAATCCATGTCCCCAAGGGCCACATCCAGACAACTCCTGAACAATTACAGACCCAGTGACTCCACCACCTCCCTGGGACACTTATTCCAAGGTCTGACCAGTCTTGAAGGGAATTTTTATTTTCTAATATCTAATCTGAACCTGCCCTGGTGAAATTTAAAGCCATTTCATCTTGTCCTTCCCTTTGGGACAAGGCAGAAGAGCCCGACCACCCCTCATTTCACCCTCCTGTCAGGGAGTTGGAGAGAGCACTGAGGTCCCCCCTGAGCCTCCTTTGCTCCAGGCTGAGCCCCCTCAGCTCCCTCAGCCCCTCCTGCTGCTCCAGCCCCTTCCCAGCTCCCTTCCCTTCCCTGCACACGCTCCAGCCCCTCAAGGTCCTTTTGGAAGTGAGGGGCCCAAAACCGGACACAGCACTTGAGGTGTGGCCTCACCAGTGCCCAGCACAGAAGAACAATCATTTCCCTGGTCCTGCTGCCTACACTGTCCCTGGTACAGGCCAAGATTGGCCTTCTCGGCCACCTGGGCACACTGCTGGCTCACATCCAGCCAGCTGTCAGCGCTCATTCACACACCACCTTCTGTACTTTTTTAAACTGGTTTGTTTTTTTTTTTTTTTTTTTTTTTTTTTTTACTTGCTGAATAGAAAACTGCTTGGTGCCTTGCACACCCACAGCTCCGTGGACAACTTTGGCTGTAGGGGTTGGTCAGCTGGGAGTTGACTGATCTGACTGACATGAGAGGACACAGTCTCAAGCTGTGCCAGGGGAGGGTCGGGTTGGCCAGGAGGAGGAATTTGTTGCTGGAAAGGGTGGTCAGGCCTTGGCAGGGGCTGCCCAGGGAGGTTTGGAGTGCCCAGCCCTGGAGGTGTCCAAGGCAGGCCTGGCCGTGGCACTCAGTGCTCTGGGCTGGGGGACAAGGTGGGGATGGGGCACGGTTTGGGCTACACTTTGCCAGGTACTCTGGCTGAATGCAGCTGCTTTACCTCTTCCAGTTTCTCTACTTTTCCACTGTGCCAAAACTGGGAGGGCAAAAACATATGTCAGACCCCAATGACTCTCTGTAACGTAATTCTGCCCCTCTGCCCCCTCAGGTGAGACCCCCCTGCAGAGCTGCTCCAGCCCTGGGAACAGCACAGGGAGCACATGGAGCTGCTGGAGAGAGCCCAGAGGAGGCACCAAGAGGATCCCAGGGCTGGAGCAGCTCTGCTGGGAGGAAAGGCTGGCACAGCTGGGATTGTTCAGCTGCAGAAGAGAAGGGTTTGGGTTGACCTAATTGTTCCAAGAAAGATGGAGAGAGACTATTTCCAAGAGCCTGGAGTGACAGGACAAGGGGGAATGGCTTCAGACTGAAAGAGAGAGTAGTTAAATGGAATATTAGGAAAAAATCCTTCCCTGTGAGGATGGTGAGGCCCTGGCACAGGTTGCCCAGAGAAGCTGTGGCTGCCCCTGGATCCCTGGAAGTGTCCAAGGCCAGGTTGGATGGGGCTTGGAGCAACCTGGGCTGGTGGAAGGTGTCCCTGCCCATGGTAGGTGGATGATCTTTAAGGTCCTTTTCAACTCAAACCATTTTATGGCTCTATTATAATTATAACTAAAG